AGACCCCCATCTCTACTAGAAAAACTGAGGCAAGAGGATGGCTTGAGTCCAAGAGTTGGAGATTGCTGTGAGTTATGATGCCACAGGGCTCTACCCAGGGCAAAAGCTTGAGACTGTCTCCCAAAAAAAAAAACAAGTCCATTTGACAGATGAGGAGACTGAGGCTCTCAGAGGTGTGGTCAGGTTCCTAAACTCGCCCTGGATTTTATCCCTTGTAGGTCCAGAGTCCTTCACTCACCTGCTGCCTCTGAGCACCTCTATAAGAGGGTGTTTGTATAACATTGTCTCCTAAAATGAATGTTGAAAAGAAGGCTTATGTCTCAACCACCTGTTTCACTCCTGCCTGGATTCTCTCTCCTGCTGTGTGTTCTGTGCTTCACTGTCTTCTGGGCTCCACATCTCAGGGGAGTGGTCTTGTCTCTTTGGTCACCTTATAGGACTACTGAGCTCAAGGCCATTTCTTCATAGAACACCTTGTCCTCATGTGGGTAGGAAGCCACTACCCGCCATCCCAGCTGATCTCATCATCAGAAGGCTTGGGTCCAGGTTTCTGCCCTGTATTAGTGAGTCACTTAACTCCTCAGAACCTCAGTTTATGCATCTGTAAAATGGAGCAAATTATCTATGTGTTCAGGGAAGGATCAAGGGGGATCAGGTGTGGGAAAGCACCAAGTCCAGCCCTGATGGCAGCTCGATGTTGTGTAACGTGTGTGATGTGGTCAGCGCATTAGCCTGGGGAACCATGACTGGGAAGCTGAGAGGCTGGAATTGAAACCCTGCAGGGCTCACTGCCATCCATGCAGCTGTTGGAGGGCCGGCAGGCTGCGTCCCCAGCAGGATGGTGCTCAGTGCGCTCAGCCTGGTGGAGCGGTCTTTCTCACTGCCTGTGATGCCCAGCTTTGAAGGTTGTCCCCCAGGCTCTGTGTGAGCATTCACTTCTCCCTTCCTGCTGGCCAAGACTGGAGTCCACAACTCCACCCCCTTGGCTCAAAGCAGGCATGACAAACTCGGTATCACAGAGTCCAGGCAATAGGACATGCTGCGGTCTGTGGCCAAGTGGAGAAGGCATGCCCAGATTTGACGAAGGGATGACCACTGCTCAGCTCTAGCCTTCTGTGCCAATGCTTCTGGGTTTTAAAGGAGAAGGAAGAACTTCATAATTTTATATACATGTTTTTATTTTTTAAATATGCCCAAGACAAAGGAGCCACGTCTAAGTATCATCTCTGCCTCCCGCTGCCCCCCCTCCAGCCAGCAGGTTATGCTCTAGACTCCAGGCTTGGTCCTGGTCAACCCACAGATACCTCTGGGACAGGGCCCTTGTATCTATCTTAAGACATGTAACAGTACAAAGTCTGGAGCAAAATTACCTGGGTTCAATACCAACCGCCTAGCCGTGCGTCCTTGGGCAAGTTACTTAACTTCTCTGTGCCTGTTTCCTCATTCATAAAATGATATCTCTAATAATCAGACTTACTATGACTGTGACTGTTATTTCCTTGAGGAAAAGCAAATATCTACACAAAGTCAGTCCAGCAAAATGGTATCAGTGATGACTCTGGAGTCAATAGCATTGGGTGAACAATGGCTGTTCACCTGCCCTTGACTTTAGGCATTACACTTCGCCCTTTGAACCTTACCATCTCAGTTCATAAGTTTACAAGTGGGAATAATGTTTTCAGCCTAGAGTTGTGAGGAGGCTGACAGATGTCAGTAAACATCAGTGTAGTGTGCGGCACCAGACAAGTCCTCAGTAACAGGTAACCATCATCGCCGTGCCCCAAGCTGGGAGTGGAGATATGAGCTGGCAGGTGGCAGTGGGCTGGGTGTGGCAATGGAGGGAACTTCTGTGTGGCATCTGGTTGCATCTGAGAAAGAGGAGGACCCAGGGAGGCTGGGACAGGGAAGGGGAACAGGCCAGGTGTGTGGAGCAGGCTCGTGGATGGATGGTGCTCAGTCTCTGCTCTCACAGGGCCTGAGGTCTGGAAGGGAGACAGAGGGAGACAGGGAGAGGCAGCACAGAGGAGCAGGTGACGGTGTGAGAATAGGCCAACCTTCCCCACCGCTCCAGAGCTGCTGCAGTGACCAAAGGACATCTTGAAGAGGCAGAGACCCCCTAATCTTCCTTCTGGAGAGGCGGTGCCCACGGCAGAGGCCGGTGGAGGGGCCATCCCCTCCTCACCTGCCACAGCCAGGGGGGCTCAGGGCTCAGCATGCACCTGCCCAGCACCTGGGTTTCAGGCAAGGCTGTAGGCAGCATCCGCTCCCTTCCCGGCTCAGCTGCACCCAGGGAACTGCATTTCCTAGGCTCCCCGGCTTGTCCTCTTCCTGGTTCATCCAAAGAAAATCAGAAGGTGGGAAGAAGGGTGATACCAGGGTACTTTTCCCTATACCCCTTCCCTGCCTGGGGCGTCCCTGTCAATGGCTGTGTCTTCTCCATGACTGCTGACTCCTGCTGGAAGCCCCTACCCCGGGATCCCAGCTGGGCAGCTGCTGCTGCTGGCTCTGGTGTGGGCTCTGTGTGCGGGCTCTGTGTGCCTCCCCTTCTTCCGCCATCCCTACATCAATGCCAGCCTCCTGCTGCTGGTGATCTGGGTGGTCTCACCATCCCCTGCTTGGCTCCCCTGCTCTTCTGTCACCTGTGTGGACAATTCCCAGGATATTTTCTGAACCTATGTTGGGCCTTATCCAACGCAGCGATTTTCCTGTTCCTCTTTGATGTTGGAACATCTGGCACTTTTTTGTTGTAGTTGTGTTTGTTGACGCGCCTCTCATTCCGTGACAAGAGGTTAGTGACAATGCTGAGTATGTTCTTTGGTCCTCCAACACGATTGATCACTAGTTATAGGAAGAAACAGCCTGTTCAATTTGGAAAACCAACAGTTATTTTAGAATTCACAAAGTTTACAGGAAGAGTGGACAGAGCCGACCAGCACTGTGGATGTTACAGATTCACAAGGAGGTCCTACAGACGGTGAAAAAACTCATTCTTCTGGCTGATGGACGTCGTAGTTGTGAACAGCTACAAGTTTTACTCAGTAGATAAGGAGAGTGGAGAAAGAACGCAGACACACATTTCCTACGGGAGAAGTCTCATCCCTCAGCTTGTGAGCAATATGAGGAACGGAAATGCCAGAAAGAGGGGAAGACCACCATCTCTGACACTGAGGAAGATGCGTTTTATAATACACAATGAAAAGAAATCAACAAAGATTGCACGGTTTGCAGCAGAAGAAATGAGAAAGGCGGAAGGAGAGAAACCATTTTCTGCTGTGAGACAGGCAGGAAGAGGCAGCCCGGGCTCCATCCTGGAGAGGGCTTCAGGGGGTATCACACTCAAGAGTCAATTACAAACAAAAATGAACAAAAACACTTTAATTATTTTATGTAACCTAAAATAGATAATAAAATCAGCAGGCCAGTTCTTATGTATGTTTCTCTCTTACAAAACTGTAGGATAATTAGAAGTAATCCACCAACCTCTTTCCTGCCCAAAATTAATAAGAGCTGGGGAGGACGCGGGTGGCAGAAAAATCAACCGGAATAAATTGCCCCAGTTTGGAAGACGTGGATACCTGTTTCCTGGCTGGGCCTGACTGATACAGCAGTTAATGCTCAAAGTGTGAGATCGTGGACAAACGCCTGCCAACCCTGGGGCCGTTTTCAGCTCACCTTGATGGGAAGGGGGAGCGTCTTGCACAGAGGAAGACCCTAGAAAGCCCCAGGAGGTTCAGACCCACAACTTGCCAAGTCCTGCGTTCGTTCTTGCCACATGTTGCCTTCAGCTCGGAACCACATTATTAAATCAACTCTGAAGAGTAGCAGTTACACACACCTCATTTTATTTTCATCTCAGTGCCACTGCTTACCAGATAAGCCATTCAATCCCACTGAGCCTCAGTTTCTTCTTCTGTAAAATGGGGGGAAGCATCTACCTCCAGGGATTACTGCGCATTTTTTTAAATTGGGGTGTTTTTAATTTTTTAATTAGATCATAACTGTGTACATTACTGCATTTATGGGGTACAATGTGCTGACTCTATATACAATCTAGAATGTTCACATCAAACTGGTCAACATGTCACTCACCTCACTTATTCAGTTGTTGTGTGTAGACATTTCTACTCTACTGTTAATATATTTGACACATATGCTCGTGATATACACAGTAGGTGAGGTCCCACCGAATACCCTCCCGCCGCCATACTGTGCGGTTTGAATAGAACCACTGCTCTGTGTGGCGGCTCTCAGAAGTGCTTGGCACCCACCAGTCAGGAATCTGAGCTCTGATTCACTCTCACCCTTATCATTACTCCCCATCAGCTCGGCTGCTTTTCCTTTGTGAGGAAAGTGTTAATGATAAACATTCGCCCAGGTGCATCTCCAGTTTCCAGGCTGTGTGCTCATAAGACTCCTCCATTCATTCAGTGAACATGTGAGCTGAGCTCCAACTGGGTGCTGAGGACACAGGTGAACCAGGCCACCCCCCACCCTACAAGGGCCAAAGGGTCATGGTGCAGGGATCATAATAGAAGGGGGCAATGCCAGTGGGAGGGCCCCAAGTCTTCCTTGGTTTCCTTCCTTACACTGAGGGACACGATCAGTGGCTTCCTGGAGGAGGTGGCATTTGAACCGCAATCTGTATGTTGGGAAGAGGAAGCAGGAGGTAGCGGTAGGCCCATCCCCTATCCTGTCTGACCTCCAGACCCCCATCTGTGAGCAGCAGCGCAGGATGGCCAAGGCTCTGGCTCTGGGGCTAGCCTGCTCACCCCTCACGGGACTGGACCTGATAGTCCCATGCCTCTGTTTCCTCATCCGTAAAATGGAAGAATAGCAGCCTCTGGCTGACAAGGATGGTGGAAGGCCAAACAGCTGAAGTCACGTAGAGTTCTTGGCCCTGAGTGTGGTCATTGCTCTCCAGCTGGTGCTGCAGACAGAATGCTTTTGTGTCACCAAGAACTTCTCGGCCTCTGACTCTCTGGTTTTGCTCCTGCCCACAGCTGCCACCTTCATGGAGCACTGGAAGCGGAAACAGATGCGGCTCAATTACCTCTGGGACCTCACAGGCTTCGAGGAGGAGGAGGTCAGTGGGTTTGGTGCAGTGCATGCCCCACCCACCCCCACATGCCCCTGACCCCTGCCAATGCCCTCCCCAGATGTGCCTGGAGACCTGAGGGTCTTGGCCCAGGCCTAGGCCAGTGAGGTCACTCCCCTCTGGCTTCTCAGTTGTATCCCTGACATTACAAACACCCTCAGTTGCCAGGGCGACAGTTTTATGTCTGCTAAAGTGTCTTTGATCTCCGTGTTCACATGGACATACCACCCATCACCGTGGTCTCAGACACATGCCAAGGCTCACCACACTGACCTCATCGCATCTGGGGGCTGCCCAGACTGTGGTGCAACAGCCCTGTGGGTATGGGGAGGGAATGGACACTGCCCACAGGTCCCCAAAGGCAGCTGTGAGCATTTGCCTGCTCCGGTGCCGAATCCTCACTCCTCAGAGCTGGCTCTGCCTGCAGCCAGGCGCGGCTGAGGAGCAGGAATGGGCCCTGGCTCACATGGAGGGAAGACTAGTGCTGCACATCTCTGTCACCAGAGAGGGGACAGTCTGGGGCCAGTGGCCAGTGGGATGCTAGGTGAACTCTCCCCAGAATCCCCCTGACTGCCAATTCCTGCAGGAATTCCCTATGGGCTGTGTGGGCATGAAAAGGAACAGCAGTCCCTACAATGAGCCTCGGCACAGAGCAGAGGCGACCTTGTGTGCTTGCTGGAAGGTGTGGCCATGCTGACCCCTATTTAATTTTATAAAACACGCTCACTTTTTAAAAGAGGAACCTCTTATGTACTGTCATTGCAAGGTGGAAATATCTTCCACCATTTTCTCTGGGGTCCACCCACCCAAGTTCCATCCTGATTTGGCAGCTCCCTCGCTGTGTGACCTGAGGCAAGTGGCTTAACATCTCTGTGCCTCCATGTCCTCACCTCTCAAAAAGGCACTGAGAAAGTGTCTTCCCTGGATAGTCTGCATGGGTTGATAGATAGAAGGCACTGAGAGCAGGGTCCCACGTGCAGTAAGCACCCCGTAAATGGTCACCCAGCCAGCCACGACCAGGCCACACCTGTGCCAGCCCCGTGACAACCTCAGTCCTCTCCACGGCAAGGCTCTTTATTCTGTTTCATGAATGACCAGACCGAGAACATCAATCAGCACACAGTTTTCAAGGGCAGAGCCAGGGACGGAGCCCAGGGCTTTGTCCCCGTAGCAGGGTTTGGGACAGCTGTCTCTCTGTTTCAATTAGAAAGGTCTACAAAAAACAAAAAGCAGTCACCACCTTACTTTAGAAGTCGACTTCTGTCCTTACCACAGTGTCCCTGTGCCTGGGGGGCGTTGGGGGCCAGTTCCCTTTGTTCAACTTTGTGGGGGACCCAATCTCCTGATCCAGACTTCTGGGGAGCTGGATTTAGGGGGTGGGTGACAGAAGCCACTTGGCATGAGGCCCAAGATGCCTGAGTGAGTTCCCCAAAGTGAGTCACCCGCATGTCCCCAGGGCCTCATTGGGACAGTAACCTCAGGTGGAGGTGGCTGCCCTTCCAGGTGGTCTAAACCCAGGTTTGAAAACTCAAAACAGAAGGATGCTCGGGTCCAATCATTTGGCCTGTGTACTCCTCAGCCGAGTTCGAGAAACTTCAGTCTGGCTGTGGCTTGGGAATTTCCAAAAACACAGCCCCTACCAAACTAACAGCCCAGACAGTCACCCTAGAGTCTGGCATCCCACCCCCCAGGATGGGCCACCTGCATCCATTTTACCTTCATCCTGGTTCTTAAGAAAATCGTCTTTAGCAGATGGGTCTTATTTCTTAAAAACAACCTAAGTAATGAAATCTTTGTGTTTTTTGTTTTGTTTGGTTGTCACTCTTCTGGTTCCCTGAAGGAGGCCGTCAAGGTTTGGAAACTTCTGTGGCTCCTCTGTCTTCTCATAGCCTGTCTCCCTGGGAGAGGGACCTTCTCACGCACCTACTCTGTCTGCTCTCCACGCAGCTCCTCCACTGCGGGCAGGGTCTCTGCTTTCTCTCCCACTCCTGGGTCTCTCTTAACCTGTTCTTCCATTCCAGTGCCCTTCGCTGACCTGCTGTGGGCTCCCCCGAGGCCTGGCACCTCTGCTGTGGGCGTGCTTGCTGACACTTAACTGCATCTCTTCTGACCCCCACGGCTTCTCAATAGAATGTCTCGGGGACCAGTTCATGGCTGGGTGTTCCCTGCAGCCAGGACACAGGCTACAGATTCCATTTCCATCCCAGTGGGCTGGGGTGCCCACCATCTAGACCAGACACGGGGAATTTTAAATTGGAAAGATTATTAGCAGCCAACTGTGAACTGGCCCCAGAGGTACCCTCAGCAAACATGCAGCCTCATTCGCCTCGTGTTCTCACAGCGAGGATCTCTGACTCACAGGCAGCTGGGCCTCCATCTGGACTTGGTCTCTTCCACAGGATCACCCCCGTGCTGAGTACGAAGCCAGAGTCTTGGAGAAGTCTTTGAGGAAAGAGTCCAAAAACAAAGAGGTACGATGGCTGCTGCCAGGTGTCTCTCCCTGCAGTGATGCACTGTAGACCAGAGTCAGCCTAAATAATAGATACTTTAGTCTCTGTAAGTCTGTGCTGCAGCTACTCACCCCTGCCATTGCTGCTTTGAAGTAGCCAGAGAAGATAGGTGAACAAATGGGCGTGTCTGTGTGGCAATAAAACTTTATTCACAAACAGGCAGGGGGCTGGGTTTGGCCGGAAGGCTGTGGTTTATCAAACCTGCTATAGTCTACCTCCTTGACGTGTCCTGAGGGTGATCTCAGACTTCAGCAAACATTTTTCTTTGAAGGTTTTTGAGGCACACATACCATTGGTCCTATCTGCCCCACTATGCTCTGTCTTAAACAATGAAATGGAAGCATTTGCCAGGCCAAGGTCTCTAAGCAAAGGGCCAATTCCTTGTTTCACTCACAGACTGTGAGAAGGAGGGAGAGAATATGTTTTTGTGATGTTCTTGAGGCCCTTTCATGTTATAATAAATGCTTTCTTTTTCCTCAAACCTCTCATTCAAATTGACAGTCATGGCTCTGTGCCTATAGCTCAGCAGCTAGGGCGCCAGCCACACTGGAGCTGGTGGGTTCGAACCTAGCCCGGGCCTGCCAAACATCTGTGACAAATGCAACCGAAAAATAGCCGGGTGTTGTGGCAGGCGCCTGTAGTCCCAGCTACTTGGGAGGCTAAAACCAGAGAATCACTTAAGCCTAAGAGTTTGAGGTTGCTGTGAGCTGTGACGCCACAGCACTCTACCAAGGGTGACATAGTGAGAGTCTGTCTCAAAAGAAAAGAAATTGACAACTGTGTTTGCAGCCTAAGTGCTGTCAGACCTCTCCAGGTGCTCAGCCACTGTTTTAATGGTGCTTTTCATGTGACCAGGGATAGGGGAGCAGGGAGCCCCGCTGAGCCCTGCCAGACTCTGAGGCAGGAGAAGTTGGCACTGGCCTCTGAAGAGATTAGAAAGGATGCTCCTTCAGGTTCCCAGACTTTGCTGACACCTTTGTACTTTGGGACTGACACTCAGACTTTGGGACTGATCAGACAAATGCTTAAGTTTCTCTACCCTTGTCAGATATGCCAGGGGACAGAACTTGGTGGCTCAAAGTGGCTAGGGGGTCACAAATGCCATAGTCCAATCTGGAGAGCAAAGTGGGTACTGCAGAAAGCCCCGAACCCCCAACTCGGTCCTGCTACAGTTGGAAAAACTATCCCTTCCTAAGCACCCGTTAGAGTCTGGGCAGGATCGGAGGGTGTGAAGAATTCGCTCACAAAACCAGGCCATGGAGGAGCCGCCTGACAAGGGAACAAAGCAGCCTTGTGCATCTCCTGCACAGCGGTTTCTGAGCCTTTGAACTGGCCTTCAGCCCCTCTGGACCTCACTGTCTCCTGGTAAAGGATAAGGCCTGGACGCCACCGTCTCTGAGGCCTGCAAGCCTCTGTGGTTTTTCAGAGCAACATCCCTGGATCTAGACTTGGGTTAGGATGTCTCAGGAGTCAGCGTAGGACCCCCAAGAGTCCACCCTGTGCCTTTGGGGTCACACCTCTTGGAGGAAGCATAGATGGGTATTTCATGTCTTAAGGAGAAAAAAAGAAGGTGTGGCACACACCATGCCATCTATGCCAAGGGACTTAGCCAAGCCGAAACGATGGACCTGGACAGTGGGTGCTGGAAACCACCTCTGGGGCACAGGGTCCCTCTGATCCTGTGGCCCGTGGCTTGGTTTTGACCCACCTCAACAGAACAACAAAGGTGTCAGGCTTATTTTTACTGAGCGCTCGTGGCGGCCCCAGGCCCTGTCTGCTTCTGATGGGCCTCACCCTTTATTTTCTCCTTCATTTCATTTCGTTCCCGGTGGCTGCTTTTGGTTTTGATCCTCCCCCCACCCAGCTATGCCACTAAATATATTTATGAAACAAAAATCCACCACTTCATTGGCCTATTAACTTTGGGCTTCTGGGTGTGGCTTCCTCCTTGCTGGCATAAAATGCTCATGGTGACCCGTGTCTTTGCACGCTGCACCCTGTTGAGATCTCAGCAGCCGTCTCATGCCGTGACGGAGCCCAGTGGGCAGCTCACACGGAGTCTCTGTTTCGAAAACCTGCATCTTCTGTGTCTGTGACTTCTGCTGGAGCCTTTCTTTTAGACAGTGGTTCTCTGCCATCTCTTATTTGTTTAAAACACCAAGAGCCCAAATAGCCTTGGCAGCAAGCTGGCCAGCGAGCACACGGAGGGGCAGGCCTGCTGCCAAGGGGTGTCGGGCCCCAGGACCGGGGGTCTGAGGTACCTCCACGTGCTTCACCCCACGGTGCTCTCTCTCCCCCCCCCACCCGCCCTCAGAAGCGCCGGCATATTCCAGAGGAGTCGACAAACAAATGGAAGCAGAGGGTTAAGACGGCCATGGCGGGGGTGAAATTGGTACTTTTCTATTTGGGGGCAACGCGAGTCTTGACTGTTTGCAGACAATCCAAGTCGATCGTGTTTTCCTCGGCAAACTCTGTTGAATTTTATTTTTAACATTCACGTCCGTGTTTCTTTGTCTTCCTTCCGCACCCAGTGAGCCCGGCGTGTGCTGAGATGGCACTGCATGGCTATGGTGGGTCCGTGTGCGGGGGCGGCGCTGGCTGGATTCGGAGCTCGTGAAACATGCTTGTCGCACTTGCCTGCAAGTGGTTAACACGCATGCGACCCGCCCCGGAATGAGTGGCCTCCCGTGTGATGTCCGTGTCAGCTTCCTGTGACATTGTGATACGTGAATTTTCCATTTAAAGTCCACCCCTATCTGAGGCAGCCCAGGTTAGGGACAAGCTTCTGCCCGAGACTCCTCCAGACCAAGCCGAGCTCGGGCCCTGGAGCCCGTGGGCCAGTGTCGCGGCAGACCGCCGTTGCCATGCAGCAAACAACATTTTAACCTGTCATGCGGGTTGCTTGTTTCGACTTGTTCCACAAATGAAAAAATAACTATTATGGTCTGGGTGGCAAATGGCAAAACATCTTAGATCCTTCAGCCCTAAAAGTGAGATTATCAGCAGAAGAAATGGACTCCAGGCTTCTCCCAGAGGAGGGTCTAATAGTCTTTAGAAAGGCATCTGACAGCATTACACCTGGACCCGAAGGGTTCACGTCTTTAAACAGCTGTTACTTCTATTATTAGGTAACGTTTCATAGGTGATAAGGTCCCGGGTGCTTCCTTGAACAGTATACGTTCACATGGGCACATCACCTGCAGGCAATTTTTATGGTTTTTCTGAGTATTTCTGTTGTCCAAGAGTACGCTCAGACATGCACACACACGCGCACACACATGGACACACATGCACACACACACACACACACACACACACACACACAGGCTCGTGTCCCCCCTGACAGTTCCAGCAAGTGACCTGCATTGTCTGTGTTATAGACGGACAAAGTAAAGCTGACCTGGAGAGACCGGTTCCCAGCCTACTTCACCAACTTGGTGTCCATTATCTTCATGGTAAGTTCACAGGCTGAGGTGGGAGGAAATCAGGGAAGCCCAGAGGAGCTGGTGATCTGTGCCCACGGGACTGCGTTCAGCCTTGGATCAGTGAAGCCAGTCACCTGGGGCACGGGCGTCCTGTCCCTTTGGGGCAGTGCGTGGGTGGGGGACATTCCTAACACAGGAAGGGGCCAGGGTTCCAAAGTGACCCCCAAGGGAGCTCCCCACAATCCTGTGAGTGTGTGAGATGACCTCAGGTGTCCCTGACACATGGCTTTCGTTTTGAGGACATATTTAATTAAGCAACTAGTATTGCAAACCTAGGATTTCATGGCTATTACTTAAAGACAAAACCAAGAAATTTATAAGAAAACCGTTAAATAAATAGCACAGAGACTGGAGAGGAATCATGTGGTGCTGCTTGGGGACCTGTGGGTCTGTGGCTCGGGTCGAGGGGCAAACACCATATGGCTGTCAGGGGACTTCAACCCCAAATTGACTCTGCCTTGGCCCAGACTGGCTGTCCTCCCATCATGCACCATGTGGTCAGGGCCAGCTGGTCACATCAGAAGTGACAGTGCCCTCAGCCAGCCCAGGAGCTCTAAGGCAGAGCCTGTATAGTGCCGGGCCCATGGAGTGAGGCCGGTCGGGTGGGCTGCTCCAGGACCCCTGCGTCTGGACAAACTGGGAGGCAGGCAGGGGCTGTCCTGGTTTTCTTGGTTGCATTGGGAGTGGGCCAAGGACTCCCCTAGCTGAGTAATGGAAAGTGGTATGAGGACCCAGTTCCCCTCATGCTCTCAGGCACAGAGATAGGGATCTCAACTGATGAACCCAGAGAAGGGCCTCAGTGGTGGAGGCCCCAAGATCATCCCAATTTACCCCGGAGAAGGGTGGCCATGCGGTGGCAGCGGAGGGCTGCTGTGGTCTCCAGGCGACTCTGGGTAAGAGTGGGCTCAGCCTTGATTTGAGGATGATGTGTCCCCTCTGGCCAGGTACCAGGATGCATGCTGGGCGATAACGGGAGCAGGACATGGTCCCTGCCTGCCTCAGAACATCCCCAGCCCTCAGCCAGCACGGGAGATGCAGCTCAGGAACAGGAGGCTCCCCACATGCTGCTGCTCCTGGTGAAGGAAAAGCAGCCTCCCCGAAGGGCCAGTGAGGGCTGGAGCGGAGGTGGTCTGGCCGTCCAGGGCTGGTCTGGCAGCTCTGCAGTGCCATCAGAGCCACTGGCTTCTCTGACCTTCCCTTCACCCATCCTCTGCATGGGTCACTGTTGGTCACAATGTGGCTGCCTTACCTCCAACATCACCTCTGCTCTCCAGGCAGGAAGAAGGGGAAGGGCCGGGGGAGGAGATGGGCCCCGAAGCCACCCCTCCTTAAAGGCGCTTTCCTGGAAGCCCCATCCACACCTCTGCTTGCATCGCACTGGTCAAGGCCGTTTCTCACAGCCGCCCCACTCTGCAGCCAGGCTGAGAGATGAGTGATACCTTCTCAGCAGGGCTGATGCAGAGGAAGGGCAGAGGGTATCAGGCAGGGAGCTAGCTGGCTCTCCTTTCCCAGCCCGCAATGCCTGGTAAACTGCTGTCACAAGTAGATTACACTCAAGGTGCTGATGAGGACATGGCTTGGTCCCTGACTTGGGAACTTCGGGCAGTGAACAAAGGTTATTGAGCACCTGGCATGTACCCCTAGGCCCCTGGTCCTAGCAACTGGGCAAGTAAGCAGGCCGCAAACCCAGGCCCTCAGGCACTTGTGGTCCAGAGGGAGATTGCCTCTGGAAGGAAGGCTGCTGTGGAGGCCTGGTGTGGGGGGGTGTCTGCTGGGGTGGAGGCCCCTGGGCTGAGTCTCTGCAGGTCTGACCCCATTTTCATCTCAGCAGACTGGCACAGAGATGCCTTCAAGGCCAGGTGACGCCTTCCCCAGGGAGGGGCCTCTTGGCAGGCTGCAGGGGTTTTCCATGGAAAGCCCTGGTTCCTGGAGCTAGCCAGAGCATGGTCCCCACACCCTGTAGCAGGGCTGCCCCCTGTTGGGTGTGCTGTGGGTAGGTGCTTCCCTGGGCAGGGTGTGGTCACTAGCAGAAGTCTGCAGAAGCCAGAGTTCATGGCACATGGCAAGAGTTAATAGCCCAAGATGTAAAGTAAGAGCTTTTCGGGGAGATTTCTGCATGCTGAATGAACCCCAAGCAGTAGCTAGGAGACACACAGCATAGCCCAGGCCTCCCGGGCCTGTCCTGGGTGCCACATGTGACCATGCTATCAGGGACAGGTCTGTACTCTGTGGGCATGCAGTGTCCTGGGACACAGGGGACATGACAGAGCTTCATATAATATGGGCTCACACATTTGAAATGCCAGCTTGTCCACCCTTCCATCCATCTGTCCAGCCCCAGTGAGAACTCAGGATTGGGCATCCACACCCCTGGGCAGGATGGGGCAAGGACCGGGTCTTCCTGGTTGAGCTAGGCCCATAAGGAAAATGAAAAGGAACCCAGGCAGGCAGATAGACAGACAGACAGCTATGTGTGGAACAAACTTGTCATTGCGGCCAGCTCCACCCCGTCTCTCCGGCAACCGCCAACCCAAGTTTTATGGAATGTTCTGTCCCACGGTGGGTTTGGCAAGAGGAGGGGCTCGCCCTCATGGATGAGCCAGCAGGGTGTTGCTGTTCCTGAGTAGGCTGGGAGAAGGGACCTGATCCATCTCCCAGCCAGACCTGTCACCTGCCCCACCCCAGGCCCCGCCCTTCTCCTGCAACAGGGTAGGGTCTCCGGAAGGTGGCTGGGAGCCCCGCACACCATGTGAGGATGTCACTGCTTCTAGAAGCTCAGGGTCTCCCTAGGTTGAGGAGAGAAGCCCCCACCCAGTGGTCAGCCTGTTCTAGGACCCAGCCGGGACAGCCACTGCAGTTGTGGCTGTGCTATGTCCTGCACACTGCTTGGGAATGGCACCTGGGCCCCACAGCAGACGAAATTAGAAAGACCTCCTGGACTGCAGGCTTGGGTGGACCCACCTGGTAAAACCTGGCTCCAGGCTCGGCGCCTATAGCTCAACCGGCTAAGTCGCCAGCCACGTACACCTAAGGTGGCGAGTTCGAATCCCCAGCCCGGACCCGCCAAACAACAATGATGGCTGCAACCAAAAAATAGCCGGGCGTTGTGGCGGGCGCCTGTGGTCCCAGCTACTTGGGAGGCGGAGGCAGGAGACTCGCTTGAGCCCAGGAGTTGGAGGTTGCTGTGAGCTGTAATGCCATGGCACTCTGCCCAGGGGGACAGCTTGAGGCTCTGTCTCAAAAAAAAAAAAAAAAAAAAAAAAAACCTGGCTCCAGAGCTGGGTGACCAGCCTGTCTACATAACCTCTCTGAACCTCAGTGTCCTCATCCATGACATAGAAACTAGCTCCTCATTCTCTGTCTGTTGGAGGGGGGGCCCACAAAATGTTAATCTTTGTTTTGAAGCAGAGGAGCTCAAGGGGGGGACCTGGATGGACTGGGGAAACAGATGGGGAAGGTCCAGGGAGGGTGGGGGGTTCCCCAGCCAAGAGCATCCCCTCCCTCTTTGCAGATCGCAGTGACTTTTGCCATCGTCCTTGGCGTCATCATATACAGAATCTCCACAGCTGCTGCCTTAGCCATGAACTCCTCCCCCTCCATACGCTCCAACATCCGGGTCACGGTCACAGCCACCGCAGTTGTCATCAACCTGGTGGTGATCATCCTCTTGGATGAGGTCTACGGCTGCATAGCCAGGTGGCTCACCAAGATCGGTGAGTGCCCACGTTCTGGTGACTGTGCCCCACACAGCCTCGCCTGGTGATCCAGCGCCGACCCCTAGTGTCAGGCAGCCCAGTCGCCTCCCTCTTGCTGTGCAACCTTAGACTTGTTGCTTAACTTCTTTGGGGCCCAGTGCCCCGTCCGTGAATGGGGACCCTAAGTGCTGGACCACCACTCCCATGAAAACCAGGTCACCTGATGGTGCCAGTGGTCAACTCAGAACTGGACCTGGCTGTGGGGACATCTCAGCCACAGCCTCAGCATCCCCCTCCCCTTCCCTCTAGAGGTCCCAAAGACGGAGAAGAGCTTCGAGGAGAGGCTGATCTTCAAGGCTTTCCTGCTGAAGTTTGTGAATTCCTACACCCCCATCTTTTACGTGGCTTTCTTCAAAGGCCGGTAGGGACTTCTTCAGTCTGGCCCGAATTTGTACCTCCCAGTCCAGGGAAGAACAAGCCTGTCCCCTCCCTGTGGGTAGGGGACACCTGGAGGTCCAGAGCAGAGCCGTCACTGTGGTTCCTGCAGCTGATGAGGTCCCCAAAAAGCCCCAGCTCCTGCTGAGGTTCAGAGCAGCAGGGACCCTGGGCAATGGAGTACTCCAGGCAGTAAGGACCCCGGGAATCCTAGGCTGTCAGGATCCCAAGCGGTGAGCCCCACAGCAGGTACGGATGAGTCAACAGAGATGAGACCAGGAAAGTACAAGAAATGCAGCCACTGGCCAGCAGAGCCACGTCTTAGACTCCCGCCATGGTGAACCCCACACCTAGACCATCCCAGGGTGTGGAGGGGCCTGTGGCCACCCACCATGACACCGCGCCCCACCCGTTCAGTCAAGGACTGGCAGGTGTAATCTCAGAACCCCTCCCACAGGCCCCTCCCTCAGCATCATCTGGATAACAAGGGCCTGGCACACCCAGCCCAAGTCCAAGGGCCCCATGCAAGGCTCCAGGACAGAGCAGATTCTCAGAGGCCCCACACTGTGCACCAGCCCCCACCCCCAAGAAGCTCTGAAACTACCTGTCCTCAGACCACCCAGGGTGGCCTTTGATCCTCCCCTGCCCCAGTCTGCCCGGGTCCCTATGCTGGCCATCTCCTGACCTGACCATGGTGGGTGGCAGGTCCTGAATTGCTGGCCGCCTGTGAAGCCCGTGTTTCCAGGCCCAGGTGGCCCTCCCCTGAGCTCCCTCCCAGGCCACCTTCCCTCTGCCTCTCAGCTGCACATTTCCTGCTGAGGGTATGAGGATCAGACGGACCTTCCAGCAATGGAAAACCAACATGGTGGTTTTCTACAAAGTCCAGCTTCCAGAAAAGCCTAAAACACCCTTGGGCTCAGGCGTCAGGAGTCTCAGTGAAGCTGGCTCGCTCGCTGCCCTGCGGGGCACCTCCCCAAGCCCAGCAGGGACTCGTCTCCTCTCTGACATCCTCCCTCAACCTCTGCAGGTTTGTGGGACGCCCAGGCGACTATGTGTACATTTTCCGTTCTTTCCGGATGGAGGAGGTAGGTGGGCTTCTGTGCGCTTCCCCTCCGGCTCTGCGTCCCGGTCTGTCTCCACAGTGAACCCGATAGGCACAGGCGATGCGTATTTGTTAAGCAAGGAGCGAACAGTTTCTCTCCTTCTTGGAACCTTTCCTGTTCTCCGCCTGGGATGACGGGACTATGAACTCACTTGCTGTGTTCATATAGAATCACCCTTAAAGGATAAAATCGCCACAGCGTTATTGAAAGGAAAAACGTCACACCCAGTTTTCATTCTTTTCCTTTCTCTTTACTTTTTTATTTTTTCTTTTTTTGGCGAGACTTTGAATATTTCTAACTCTGGTTAAGATAAACGAAGGAGGACAGAATAGAACTAAGGGACATATTTTTACTGAAGTGCTCACCCTTCTACCCGCAAATGCAAGGCTGATAATGTTTGGCTTCTGCCTCCAGGTTCTGGCCCAGCGGCTGAGTCATGGGCTGTGGACTCGTCCACTGTGTTTGTGCCACGAGCAGTGGCTCTGTCAGACCACACTGGGACTTCAGCGCCCGTCACTGGTCTGAGTCTCCGAGTAACCAGTTAGCATTTCCCACTCACAGAGTAACCCCACTTATCAGAAAAAATGATAAGGCCAGCACGTCCTGAACCCCTTAGGGAACAAGGAGGAGAGGGTTGGAGTGGATGTCAGTCACGGGTTGATCTAGCCACCTGGGGGCAGCTGAAAGGTTCCCCCACCCCAAAGCAGGCATCAGCAGTCTGAGACATGGGCCTCGCCCATAGTCATGGGGTTTCCAGAAAGCTCAGAAAGTACCATCCTTCACTTTTCACAGGATGGAGATGACACCTTGTCAAACTCGTCCATGGTTAGAGAAGTTGGGGAGATGCATTCGTAGGATAGAAAAAAAAGGACATAATTGCTTTTCACGAAAAGAGGACTCTCTGAGACAAATTGTTTAGTAACTGTCTATAAAGTTTTGTTTGGGAGGGTTCACCGTGCCCTGGGAGTCACTGAGCGCCCCTCGTGTTTCCTTTGCTTGGACAAGTTAAGCTTCTTGCCTACGAAGGTGTCTGACCATCACCTGCCTGCTCAGTCCCTGGCCTAAGAGGTGCAAGCCTGCTGAGGGCACAGGCATTAGGCCTCAGAGGGGTGACAGCTGCCTCCCAGGTGGCTTGCTGCCTGCAGGGCCTGTGCCCGGGCAGTCACAGTGTGGGACAGGGCACTGGGCCCAGGGGAGGAAGGGGAGCCCCGAGATCTGCTCTCAGGCATGCTCCCCTCTGCTATGCTCAGTTCCAGCCTAACAGCCTGGTGGGGGCTGCGTGTATAACCCCTGGACTTCCTACCTGGAAACAACAGAGACTCACTATTGCACAGTGCTGGAGGTCAGAGGCCAGAACCAAGGTGTCCGCAGGGCTGTGCCCTCCGACCCTTCCCCCCTCCCGTCTCCTGGTGGTGTCTGGAAACCTTGCCATTCCTGTAGGTGTTGCTCCAGTCTCCACACGGCTTCTTCCTCCTGTGTCGTGTGTTTCCTCTTCTTGGGAGGACACCAGTCTTTGGATCAAGGCCCTCACCCTGCTCCATTGTGGCCTCACCCAGACTTGGTTACATCCGCAAAGACCCTTTTTCCAAATACGATCACATTCACAGATCCCCTGGAACTAGGACAGTGGGCCCACAATGTGAGGGTGGACCTCCCGCCCCACAGGGTGCGGTTGCTGCTCCCTGTGTCCCCGAGCTGATACCCGCTCTCCATCTCACAGTGTGCCCCGGGGGGCTGCCTGATGGAGCTCTGCATCCAGCTCAGCATCATCATGCTGGGGAAGCAGCTGATCCAGAACAACCTATTTGAGATTGGCATCCCGTGAGTAGTGGCCACGGCAGGGCGGGCAATGCAGGGCCCCGCTCAGGAAAGGGGTGAGCACAGAAGGGAGATGGGGCAGCACCCCATTGGATAGAGAGGATACCGGGCTGACTCCCTTCTCTCCAAGCTGTTAAGGATGTGGGGTACCAACAGGTACCCCCAACCCACCTGCTGGCTCCCCAGAGTTAACAGATGAACAGCCAAGAGCGTGGCTCCCTCACCTTGTGCCTTTTAGAAATCCCTGCCCCATTCTCACCTCCCCAGAGGCAACCGGCTCTCAGGAATCAGGCACCTTGATCTGTGTCCCTCCTTCAAGGCCCCGCTGGGACAAGGCCAGGCCCCAGTTCGTGTCCCTGATGGCTATCAGGCCCTCCTGCAGTCTTCAGCAGCCTTTGCCCTTCCTTATATAGCAAAGGCTTGCTGCTCGGCCCCTGACTTTTGGGTAAAGGGCAGAGGAAGCAAGTGATAGAGAAATGATTGCAGACAAGTCAGAGATGCAACTTAGAGATGGCAGGCACGGCCCCAAACCCACCTCCCACAAACCTGAGTGATGGCGTGTCCCCAGGAAAATGAAGAAGTTCATCCGTCACATGAAGCTGAAGCGGCAGAGTCCCCCCGAGCATGAGGAGCACGTGAAGAGGCGGCAGCGGCACGAGGTGGACTACAACCTGGAGCCCTTCGCCGGCCTCACGCCCGAGTACATGGAGATGAGTGAGTGTGCCCCCAGGTGGGGCAGGCGCAGCTGGGCAGGCGGGTGGCTTCAGAAGAGAAATGGGCCAGTGCACCACCTGTGGGAGGGACGCCCTGACCAAGCAGTGCCCAGCAGCGGAGAGGCACAGAGGAGAGAGGTGCTCCCCAGGGCTGTGCCTGTTCTCCGAAGGGCCCTGGTCATGTTCCCTAGGCACATTCCGGTCAGCCCAGCTGGACACAGCACAGGCCAAGCAGCTCTTCTTTCTCCCTCAGTGCCCTCCCGCCAGCCAGAGGGCTGGCCCTTCTGAGCTGCAAGACCCTGCCTTGCTCTGGGACCCTTGCAATCCAGGGTGCCCCCTCTGAACCCCAGATCCCCTCAGGAACCCTCCTTGGGCCCATGGCTCATCTCACCTTCTTGCAGTAGCTGCGGAGTGTCAGCAGCCAAGGCTTACTCCCCTGTGGGCTGGTGCTAGCCACCAGCACAGAGCAGGTTCTCAGCAGAGACCCAGGCCTGAGGCTTGTGGCCCCCCTGTCGTGTTTCTGGACTGGAGGATGCTGAGAGCTGACACATGCCTCTCAGGGCTGGGGCAGAGGAGAGTTGGGAGAAGGCCCGATGGGGCATGCACTGCCACCCAGAGTCTCCCTGACCCTGTCCACTTCCTACCTCTCCCTCCTGCCTCCCTCCACTCTGGCCACACTGGCCTCCTTGCTGTTCCCCAGACTCGCAGAGCTCAGGTCTGCCCCCAGGGCCCTGCCGGCATGCTCTCCCCTGAAGACCTGCACTCACTATCTCCCCCTTGGGCTTTACTCAGAATGTCCCCCAACAGAGGGTCTTCCCTGACCACCATGTGTAAAGAGGGAAGCCCTTCCCCTACACAGCCCCACCCCCCACCTGGAGTCTCAGATCACCACCGACACCCTCAGTCCTAGGGGAGCCTCTGTGCCCGTCCTTCCCTGTCAGGATCCAAGTCTGTGAAGGTGGGCGCTTTCCTCCTTGCTCTTCTGTCCTAGACCCCACCCCTACAGCAAGTCTGGGTAGACAGTGGGCGCTCAATGTGTGCCTGCTGACTGAGTGGGTGAGTGAAGGCCGTCTGGAGGATTACACAGAGGGGCACCCCAGAGTGCAGCACCCTGGCCATCATAGCCAGCTTCTCAGAATGCTGGTTTCCTGGGCCCGTCCCTGTCTGTGCTGGGTGAGGCCTGACACTCTGCGTTTTTAACAAATGCCTGGAAGTGAGCACAGCTGAGGCCTGCACTGCACGGCTGGCCTCAGGGGTGGTGAGAGGCTCTGTTTACACCACTAGCAATGCTTTCGGTTGGCCCGATGGGTCCAAACAGTCACTCCCGCTGTGCAGTCACTCCAGTTGACTGTGCAGGAGGCCTTCACTCCATCAGTGCCACTGACTCAGAGGGAGGGCACTCCTGAGTGTCTCTGCTTCCTCCTGGACTAAAATCTAAGCTGGAGCAGAGGCCGGGGCAGCTGTCCTGTCTGATGGGCTGCTCCTTCTCAGCTGGTAGACCCAGCATGGGAAGCAGTCAGCAGGAAGGGGTCTGGGCGTGGGATTCCCCTACCTGCAAGGTCGTGCCTTTCGTGGGAAAATGCGGGGAGAAATACCAGGAAAATAGCACAGTCTGTGGTTGGCCAAAAGCCTGGAGGTCCCTTCCCCAGATTTATTTTCCTAGCAGCTGGAGGTCATTCTGTATCCTTGCAGGTTTGGAGAAAGGGGATTCCCAGAACAGGCTCCTCCTGCCACATACATGGGGAGCGGCCCCCAGGGCACACCTCTTCGCCCCAGCTTTCTCCCCTTCCAGGGGCTGCACGTCTCCTCCTTGAGGGAAGGCCCAGGCCTGGCTGGGAATGTCCCACCCCCAGCCCCTATGGCATTTCTAGTTTACCCTCTGCTCCCCCCTCATCCCATTAGTGCCAGAGGCCATGCCACTCGGAAGTGGGGAAACCCACCCTGCAAGTGGCCTCCAGCCTAGGACCTCAGGAGCCCCAGCCCAAGGCTCGTCCCAGATGGCCCGGCCTCTGGGAGGCCTGCAGACTTCAAACAGGGCTAGTGCCTAGAGACCTCCTGCTGAGCCCACAGGCCAGGCAAGGGAGAGGCCCACCGAGCAAGCGAGACACAGGGCCTGGAGGAGAACTGGAAGGGCGCTCTCCCCAGCCACCCGGCCACGGGCTGACAATGGCCGCACTCAGCCGCCAGGCTCAGGTGACATTCTGCCCACTTCCTTGTTTACACCTGGCACAGAGCACCCTGGGCTGGGTCTTGTGTGCAGTTCCTGAACCAGCTTCCCCAACTCAGTTCCGTTCAACAACCTTTTCCTGACCTTCTCTGAGCCCAGCCCTGGGCTAGCTGAGGCCAAAGAAAGTCCAGAGTGGGCTACAGGAGCCAGGGCCTGAGGCAGAGGGTCGAGGCGTCCTGCTGGGGGTTCCCACCCAGAGGCCTGGCGGAAGGGGAGGTTTGGGGCGCTTGTTGATACAGCGATGCAGGGAGGCCCCCAGGCCCCAGGAAGCTGTGGCGAGGGACACAATAGGGCCACACCCACGTCCCTTCCTAGCCCAGGCATGGGGATGACCACAGGCTGGGCCACCCAGCTCTCAAGGGCCTTTATTCTTGTTAGTCATGATTTTTTTTTAGGATTAGACATATGATAAGTGAACATTCCCATTATTTAGAGTCAAACCCTGAGATTCAGTGTAAAATCTGGACTTCTCCCCTCTGCTTCCTCCTGGCCTGCAGGTCACCTGGGGACGCAGTGGATCCACCCCCAGACCCCTCTTAGGCACCCGCAGGAGTCCACGTGGGTGGGCTTGACGGTGGCAGAACAGCAGGCCCAGAGGATGTAGAGTCGAGCTTGGTGTGCAGGGCGGTGGGGACCCTGGCCTTACGGTCTGAGGATGCCAGGTGTTGCTGACCGGCACCTGGGCTCTCTCCACAGTCATCCAGTTTGGCTTTGTCACCCTGTTTGTCGCATCCTTCCCCCTGGCCCCACTGTTTGCACTGCTGAACAACATCATTGAGATCCGCCTGGATGCCAAAAAGTTCGTCACTGAGCTCCGGAGGCCAGTGGCTGTCAGAGCCAAAGACATCGGTGAGTGACCTGACCCCAGGGGGCCAGTGGGACCAGATTCTGAGTTTGTGAAGGGTTTGGGGTGCAGGTTGCTACACTCCAGAAGCTAGAGCCAGGGCCAGACAGGTGTGCCCTTTCTGGATGGAGCCCAGGGTGGGTGATGCCAGACCTCGGGCTTGCTCACCCCACCCCACAGAGAAGTTGGGAAGAGCGAGTCTGGCGTATCTGAATGTCAATCTGCAGCTTTAGGAGGCCCAGGAGACACATTTCCTCTCTGATGGCGCCCAACAGTGCACACCCCTTGCTGTGTGGCTCTGTGTGTGCAGTGCTGGACCATCGGGAAAGTAACAGTAAGGGCAAGCACCCTTCCTGCGTCACGTACGGTAAAGGACAAGAAAAAGAGGAAAGAGCGTCCTTCTGTCTGAGTCACAGCATGACTTTCCCCTGGGGTCAAGGACAGGGTGAAACTTGTGCTTTTTAGCCCCAAGCCTAAGGCGCACCTCACCCATGTGAGGGGAGGGCACCTTTATGGCCAGTGTGAAGAATAACTTTGTAATAGTCAGAAGTGTCTGAAATGGAGCAGATGTGCCTGTGGGGTAGAGAGCTCCCTGTCACCGGGGCATTTAAGCAGAGACAGGGTGACTGTCCCTCTGGGAGGAGTAACGTATGGGGATACCCAGTTGGCCGAGCTCCAGGGCCCAGCCCTCACCACCAAGGACAAGACCGTCTTATCTTAAAGCGAGATCCAATTTTTCAGGGAGAAAATAAAATTGCAGAAATACATTATCTTTATCTCATTTTAAGTCAGTTTTAGAATAGCACCTTTGTACTAATTCTTGGAACAAAACAAGATTGAATTATGTGTTAGGGATGATTAGCTGTCGTTTTGCTGAAATGATGATTACATACTGCGTGCTGGGGCGTCTTTGGGTTGGGCTTTGACAGGCCAAACATGATCTTGCAAAAGATGTGGAAGCTCCAGTGTCCTCCCAGGGACTTCTCTAGTCCCAGCTAGTTGGGGAGTTCTATTGGAAACAGCCCTCAGACCATCATGTTCTGTCCGTACTTTTTTAGTGGCTCTGCCTTGGTTAGAAGCGCCTTGGCAAGGCCACCATCCACCACTGGTGACCAGATCTGCCAATCCATCCAAGTCCAAGATAACTTGACTCTGGCCATGTTCACAGGTCAAACATCATTGAATATCTGCAGCTCCCTCTGGCTCTCCGTGCAGCCTCATGACTGTGGTGTGGCAGGGCCTGGAACGTGAGTGCTCCATAGGACAGCAGGGCCGTCCCAGCCAGGAATGTGTATAATAGAGATCGTCGCTCTCTGTTTGGACACTTCTGCCTCCCTGTGTCACCTCTTATTAGGTGACCCAGATAATGAAAACTCAACAGACTTTCTTTGTATTCAATGGTCTTATAAGATTTTGGTTACAAATATAGAAAGTTTCAAGAGCTCCTGACCCTCCAAAGTCCTTCCTAACCACCAGTGTCCCCAGCACCCACAGCCACAGGTGAACCCCTTCCCTTACTCCTCCCGCTGGGAGAGCAGTGGCCACGGGTTGGGACTGGCTTCACAAATGCCAGCCTAAAGCATTGATTTGCTGGTGCCTGAGTCAGAGGGCAGCACCCATGTTCTGTACAGGGCCCTAGAGTAAACGTTTTAGGCTTTGTGGACCAACAGGTGATGCCCTCAAGTCTCAGGCAGTGTGTCTCACCAAAAGGCTAAATCTTTCATATATTTTTTATTTCCCACATAAAACATAAAAAGTCATTTTCAGCTGGTAGGCCAGGAAGAAAGCAGGCTATGGGCTGAACTTGGACCTCAGGCCATATTTGCAAATCTCCCAGGAGCAAGGGGAGATGGCACCCTTGCCACTCACAGAAATATGGCTGCTTTGAAGACCAACCCCAGAGAGCCGTCACTTTTCCTGGACTGTCAGCCTGTTGGGTCCTCCAAGGGACCTCAGGAGGAAGCTGGAGCGAATCTTCAGTCCCGCTTTGCAGGTGGCAGACTGAGGCCCAGGTGGTTAACAGAGCCGAGAGCCGAGCGGGACCCACGGGGCCGCTACACAGATGGGAAAACCTCACATTTCACGCCAAAGGCCCTGGCAGGGCTGGGACAGCTTGCCAGGGGCTTCCTGGACATTCCTTAGACATTCCAGGCTGTCTGCCGAGTGGCAGGAAGAGAAGAGTGAGGCCGGCCCCTGGCTCACCCCCACCCCTGCAGTCCCCCAGGAGGCGAGTGCTTGCTTTGTCACCCTTTGCTTGGAGAAGCCCAGCGGTCCCCACATGGTGGCAAACCCACCGTGGTGAAAGAGCGGCGTGGCGGCCCAGCTTCCCACAGCCCCACAGCCGCGCTGGCTTCCCAGCACAGCAGGGCGAACACTGCACTCTTTGCCCCTTGTTTTTCACTCCATTCTCACGGATCAGCTGCTCACTTCCTGGTTCCTGCCCGGTGGGGGGGCATAATCGGCGCCTTTCACACAGGAGTTTATGGGCTCCTTAACCGTAACCTTTCCTTGAAGAGGCCTTTGTCTTCCTCCTGTGATCCGTGCAGGGCCTCCGGGCGAGTGCCCGAGGGGACAGTGTGCCCCAGTGGCCCCTGGGACCTGCGCCCTGGGTGGCTGCAGGCAGCTGTACCACAGAGCACAGGGCCCCTGGTCCCCCTGCTGTGGCCACCAAGGGAGGTGCATGGAGTCACAGCTTGGACTCAGCCCTCCAGCCCTGAGCCTCCACGTCCTGCTCTCTCCCTCCCTCCTCAGAGCCCGTGGCTGCTCTCAGCACCTGCCTTTTCCTAAATACCTCCCTGTTGTGTTCTTGGAAATGGGGATTAGAGTCCCCTAGAATGAGAAGAATGCCTTGAAGAAGCAGCCAAGTGAAAAAAAAAATGAGGCAGTTACCCTATTAAGGGATTTTCATAAAAGGAGCCCGAAGAGTTTTCTGAAAGAATGTTCTCCCATTTTATTAGAGCTCCTTGGAAGAGTGGGTCTCACCAGGGAGTGTGAGTCAGAATAACTTGGGGCTCCCAACCCTACCCCAAGAGAGGACAGTTTGGTGGGCTGGGGATAGGGTCCAGGCTTTGTGTCTTCTTAAACCCATCCCCACCACCTGCCCGGACGTGGAGGTGTGGCAGGACCAGTCAGCACAGGTGCATCGGGGCTGCAGAAGCAGGTGAAGGCCCTCCCCGATGGTCCATCTGGCCTGCTGAGTCCTGCCCTTCCATGGGGCTGAGTCCAGGCACCCCTCCCTCAGGACCCCGATGTCCAGAGACTTCACGCCCACCCAGGGCTCACCTACACCCCCAGCACCTTAAGTCAGAGGTCTCAAACATAGAGCCCGAAGGGCCAGGTGGGCTGCATGAACGTGAGGACAGGAAGCCGCAGTAGTGCGCTCCCCTCCCATGGGCAATGAGCCCATCCCCCTGTTTCTTGAACCCTTCAGCCCTCTGAATTTTTTGTCCCCCACTTTAGTGGGGATCTGAGTTTGGATGAGCATGTCTCTATTCTTAAAACAAAGGCCTAAGCCAGCAGGACAGGCCCAGTGGCCAGTGATGGGAGACAGCAGGGAGTCCCTGAGTGCAGAGGACGGAGCAGCCCATCCTGCAGAGGGCACCACCATAGGCCACAGCCGCTGTTGCCATGGAGACATGCTCATCATGGATCAGAGCTGAGGATCTTATGGAAGCATTGAGTCAAGATTTCTAAAATACATCATCCCGGTTATTAAACCTCAGTACACGTTTATTAAGTAGTAGGCAAACCCAACAAATTGCCCACGCAGCCTGCAGCACTGTGTCCAGATCCTCTTGTTCATCTGTGATGTGGTGCAAGCCTGTTCCTCGGGGTACGGGAAGCAAGGACGTGTCCACGGGGGAAACGGTTTACACAGTGATACCACATAAACACACCCAGGTGTGCTCCCGGCCACCCTCCTTCCCCTGCAGTGCCACGTCCGGCCTGGCCCTGAGCTCAGGTTTGCAGTGCTAGAGTCAAATCTTTGTCTCTCTAGAAATTCTAAACAGCTTGATCTAAGCCAATTAACAGTATTAACAGGTTTATGGGGATTGTTCAGAACCGCTTAGGGACCAGCTGTTTTAAAGCACCTCTTTTAGAAGCGCCAATTTGTTCACAAACAGCTGAGGAGCTGGTATAAGCCAGCACCCTGGCATTGTCCTGGCTCCCCCAGGACCCCACAGATGGTTCCTCATTGCCACGAGTCCCTGACTACTGTGGAAAAGAACACACCTGCCCCTGCAAGGCTGGCACTGGCTCAGGCTGCTGCCTGATCGCCAGAATTGCTGAGAGTCTACTCAGAGACAGGTCTTTAAACCGGTTTCTTCTTCCCCCAGGAATCTGGTACAATATTCTCAGAGGCGTTGGGAAGCTTGCTGTCATCATCAACGTAAGTGACTTCAGGGACCTGGGCAAATAGAGGTCCTGGCTCAGCTTCCAGGCAGCTGGCTGCCCCTTCTGGGGGAGCTGGGCCCGGGTCTTCCACCTCTAAGCACGACGTGGCGGGGCTGGTGGGACTGCTGTTCATAAGTGTCCCTTGAGCGTGGGAGAGGGGGACACCCTGGGTAGGGATAACCACGTCTTTTTGTTGAAGCTTTGAGCAAACTTCACCATGCCTACCTTGGACACACCCTCTCCAGAGTCCTAAGAATAAACAGGAGACAGAGACAGGGAGGGAGAGAGAGAAAGAGAGACAGAGATTCCTCATGGATGATCTTTCTGCTCTCTTTTTTAAAGATGATTTTTCACCATTAGCCAGGTATGGCGGCTCACACCTATAATCCCAGAACTCTGGGAGGCTGAGGTGGATTGCCTGAGCTCAGGAGTTCGAGACTCCATCTCTATTAAAAATAGAAAAATAGCCAGAGGTGTAGCAGGTGCCTGCAGTCCCAGGTACTTGGAAGGCTGAGGCAGGAGGTTCTCTTGAGCCCAGGAGTCTGGGGTGGCTGTGAGGTACAGCACTCTACCCAGAGCACAGAGTGAGACCCTGTCTAAAAAGAAAAAGACGGCTCGGCACCTGTGGCTCAAGCAGCTAAGGCGCCAGCCACATACACCTAAGGTGGCGGGTTCGAATCCCCAGCCCGGGCCCGCCAAACAACAACAATGGCTGCAACCAAAAAATGGCCAGGCATTGGCGGGCGCCTGTAGTCCCAGCTACTTGGGAGGCTGAGGCAGGAGACTCGCTTGAGCCCAGGAGTTGGAGGTTGCTGTGAGCATGATGCCATAGCACTCTACCCAGGGGGATAGCTTGAGGCTCCATCTCAAAAAAAAAAAAGACAATTTTTCAGCTTTAGATGAAATTCATACCTGCTCTTTAAAGAAGGTCAGGGAAATACTGAAACATGGTGAGAAGAGGAGAAGCCCCCCCCACCCCGCCTTGTAACCCCCCACAGCTCTGCTGGGGGCTGGCTTTCCTGGCCCCCAGGCCTCCTCCCGGTGGGTGGGCCTCGCCTCCATGCCCCACAGTGTGCACCCCCAACCCTAGCCTCTCCTATCTCCGCCCAAGGGAAGAGGCCCCTCAAAGCCCTGGGACACTGCCATTTCCTGGCTGACAGCCCCTTCTGCCGGCACCCCTCCCACAGACTACAGGGAGACTGAGGGCAGAGTGTGCGCACTGAGGGGCTGAGCACAGGCCCTGAGCCAGGGGGCACTAGGAACACGGGTGTATAGCCTGTCTGGAGCAAGGGGGCGCCATGATACGCTGGATGTCTCCTGAAGACAAAAACAGCAACAACCACAATAATCTAGAACTTTCTAGGCCCTTCTAAGCTCTTTCCACACGTCAGCCCACTAGTCTGTACATAGCCCTTGGAGGCAAGGACTGCTGTAGCCCCGTCTTACCAGTGAGACACCCGAGGCACAGAGAGGCCAGTCAACTTGCCTAAAGCCACACAGCCATGTGCGAGGCAGCCATGGCTTCAGGTCCGGGCTCTTGCAGGGATGCCGACCATGCTGCCCCAGAGCCAGCTCCGTAATAGAATGAGCTGGGGGGTACTTTACAGTTTACAAGATACTTCCCTTGCCTGCCTTGTTCTCTTCTTCAACAAGCCCTGTAGATATAGCCTGTACACAGGACAGGTGGTGTTAGCGCTGTCTGTCAAGAAGGAAACAGCTGCACAGAGAGGTTAGATGGTTTGCCCAAGGCCACACAGCTAGCAAAGGAAGCCGGCGTCCACCCTGTGCCTTCCTCTCAGGAGCATGCTGTTCCCGGCCCCAGGCCCTCCCCTCAGGCTGCTAGAGGGGCTGGCCAGAGCCTGGACTTTCATTCATTCACTAGAGGGGCAGTGTCTCCCACACAGTGGGGCTATGGACGGGTCACTCCCTGTCGCAGCCAGACTCTCCCCCTCCCAGCCTGGGGGTCCACGCTCACCCCATTGTCCCCGCCCAGGCCTTTGTGATCTCCTTCACATCCGACTTCATCCCGCGTCTGGTGTACCTGTACATGTACAGCCAGGACGGGACCATGCACGGCTTCGTCAACCACACCCTGTCCTCCTTCAACGTCAGTGACTTCCAGAACGGTACAGCCCCCAACGACCCCCTGGACCTGGGCTACGAGGTGCAGATCTGCAGGTACCACTCTCAGCTCGTGTCTTTGGAGAGCCGCATTTGTTGGGTTTCCTGGGAATCCTGGGTTTCAGCTGGGCTCAAGTCAGGGACAAGTCACAGAACAACTCAAACTTGCCTTAAAAAAGATTTCTTGGATGGCAGTGCCTGTGGCTCAAGGAGTAGGACGCTGGCCCCATACACTGGGGGTGGTAGGTTCAAGCCCGGCCCCGGCCAAAATTGCAAAAAAAAAAAAAAAAAAATTAAAATTTGGGTGGTGCCTGTGGTTCAGTAAGGGTGGCGGGTTCAAACCTGGCCCCTGGCCAAATTGCAACAAAAAAATAGCCAGGCGTTGTGGCGGGTGCCTATAGTCCCAGCTACTCGGGAGGTTGAGGCAAGAGAATTGCCTAAGCCTGGGAATTGGAGGTTGCTGTGAGTTGTGTGATGCCACGGCACTGTACCGAGGGCAATAAAGTGAGACTCTGTCTCTACCAAAAAAAAAAAAAAAAATGATTTATTGGCTCAGCGCCTATAGCTCAGTGGCTAGGGCACCAGCCACATACACCAAAGCTGGTGGGTTCGAATCCAGCCCGAGCCTGCCAAACAACGAGAACTAAAACCAAAAAATAGCCAGGCATTGTGGCAGGTGCCTGTAGTTCCAGCTACTTGGGAGGTTGAAGCAAGAGAATCGCTTAAGCCCAAGAGTTTGAGGTTGCTGTGAGCTGTGATGCCACGGTACTCTACCAACTGTGACATAGGAAGACTCTGTCTTAGGCTCGGCACCTATAGCTCAACCGGCTAAGGCACCAGCCACGTACACCTAAGGTGGCGGGTTCG